AGTAGAGGGACGAGAAATGGCATTAACCCAACGAAACTATGAATTGTTCAGAGACATGTTTTTCTTACATGCTTTGGATAACATATTAGATTACATCACGTCAAATACTGTTCTACGAGAAATACCATGTGCGCTTGGATTATAATTGGCTGAAGCGATTTATTTATTTTTTTTTAAAAAGAAAAGTAAATTATTATTTAAAAAAAAAAAAAAAAAACCCCTTGAATCAATCCAGGCGTGAGTGATTTTGCATTGTACACAACATTTTCTCTTGTTCTACAATATATCTGCAATAAATGAAACCCTGAATTTTTAATTCTTCTTTTCCTCTGATGACAAACAGATAAAGCATTCTAATGGACGAGGTTTGTTGCGCACGTAAGATGGCGAGAAAATAATTAATGTTGTGATTTTTTTTAACAAGCTAATTAAACAGAAATGAGAGGTTTTATGTTACCTAGGAAAATTGAAATGGTAGGGCTGCTGTAGAATGACGTGGCATAAAACCATCCATTTGGCTGGTCAATTGCCAATTGGCCTTATAATTGACTACTTTAAACTTGGAGCATTTTCTTTTTTTCTTTTCTTTTTCTTGATGCAACTACTAGTAGTTGGATATATGGGTTTTTAGGTTATAACCCTTAACTTAAGGCTACTTTGAATATATATATATATATATAATTTTATAATATTGGTCATTTTTCTTGGTGGTCATATAATCAAGTTAATTATAACTATACAATTGTCAATGGCCATATCCACAGGCCCACACTCAGAAAGGAGTTAACCAGCTAGTTAGGATAGAACCAAACCAACCTTAAACTAGTATCTACATTTTTATAGATTGATTGGACATATATGCTAGTTAAATTTCTTTATTCATTATCTATTTTTTAAATCTTTATCTTGTATTACCAACTATTTAAATAATTCAGTGATAAATTCAGTGATAAATTCATTAATTAAAAGTAAGAAATTATAAATTCAAATTACATATCATGCAAGTGAGGTGGGTTACGAATTGAAAGAGAATTGCTTTTTATTGTATAAGTTAAAACAAAAAAAAAAAAAAATCTTTGTCTCACACCATTGTTTGGTCATATACAAATATAATTATAATGATATACAAAAGTACTTGTAATGTTTTTTTTTTTTTTTACAATTTTTTTAGTACTAGTCTTTTAATATTCGAAAGTCATATTAAATCACAATTAATTCAAAATCAAGCTAAATTAGATCCCATAAAGGGATTAAAAGAAGTTCTCTTAATAGTTATTTCTCTATTGATAAAATTTAAATTTAAAACTTTATTTAAAAAAAAATTCAACTCGTTTTACTTGAATTAATAGATTAGTGGTAAATAGCATAGAACTATTTCTTTGTCTTTTACAATAATTTGATATAATATTAAAGACATAAATACATGTCAATTCATATGCAATTTTTAAATAAAAGAAAAAATTACATAAAATAATGATATAAGTATTTATCAACTCAATTTCTAAACAATTTAAAAAAATTACATTAAAATTATATCATTTTAATAAAATATCAAGAAAAAAGAAGACTAAACATCCTCAATTTTATTAAAAAATAAATTATTTTAAAAAATATCGTGGTAATTTTAACACATTTTTTTCATAAATTTCAAAAATCTAATTGACAAATTACTTTTCTTTAAAATAATATATGGAGTCAAATATTTATAATCACATCGCCATATGGCCCATATATATATATATATAGATATATTTAATATTACAAACAAAAGCAAGGAAGAAAAGGAAATATTGGCCTTTCATTATTAAGTCGAATTTTCT